CCTTTCAGGGACTGCAAAAAGAACCGAAAGAGTTGGCCCATGTTCACTGTTAGAAATACTTACTTTGCTCCACTGTTCCTTTTTATAACTTAATGAATTCTTACACAATTGCATCTTATTTACAGCACAAGAACATTAGAATAAACAAATAAAAGGCAAAAAGAATCAAGAATAAAATTATGTAACATTACCTGCTTGTGCTCCTTTCATTTTGTGGTCTAATTGAATTATCTCCATCAGCCTGCTTTGCCTTTATGTTTTCTACTTCTTTCTATTAACAGAAAAAAATGTCAGTTAATAACTGTAAAAACAAAGGAAGAAAATAAAAGATCATGACCCCATAAATGATTATTGTCCACATCCTATGAGTTTGTTAGACAAGTGCGTTAACATAAATAATCGTAAGCCAAGTATAAATTATCCCAATACAGGTAAATATAGCTATCTCTTTCTTTACAAATGAATTTGATGCATACAACAACAGCAGGGGCGCAATCCAAGCACATCAATGATGTAAGGATTTTGAAAAGTTGAAGAAAGAACCAGTGAACAAAGGGAAGCAAAACTAAGAACCTAAAAAGCCTCAACTGCAGAAGGGTCAATTTCACTGCATCAGAAATTGGAAGGCTTCTATCCTAAGTTGCTCAAGAAACTGGGGTGTAAATAGACTTTAATCAAATTTTAATTGTTGCTCATGACAGAGTATGGTTAATACAACCTACTAAAATATTAGCTTATAGGATATAAAGCCAAATCACATGATATATCCCTCCATCAAGAAAGGGGGAGAGAGAGAGAGAGAGAGAGAGTAATTGCCATGTTTCTTACCAGAAGTTCCTCAGCTTCTTCATGCTTTCCTTTCAAACGAAGTTGAAAAGCCTTAGCTGCCAACTGGTTCGCACTCTGTTCACCCTTAAATGCAGCACTAACTTCACTAGGTTTGCTAGTGTCTGCTACATTTTCGTAAACAGGACTACTAAAATCATCAGTACGCTTACCAAGAACTTCAGACATGAAGCTTCCATCATTGGAAAACGTATTTAAGCTAGACACTGCCTCCGCTATAAGACCAGAGTCCTTAGTACAAACATCTCGACTCTTTTGCTTTTTCCAGGATAACGAATCTCGAACTTTAGGCTCCCTCATTTTAGGATGTCCGAGAGATACATCCTTCAGGTAGTGCCGACTAGTGTCCTAGTAACCATACCCAACTAGCATGTCAGAAAAATGAAAAAAAATATTTTTTAACTAAAAAACAATGCCGATAAATTTCAGTTCAATTTCACAGTTAAGCCTTCGTTTTTTTAAATAGAGAGCTCCCATATACCTTTTTACTATCCATGTCACTTTGATTGTTGGAACTTGGTTGGTTATCCTCATTCAGCCCTTTCTTTCTACTTTTTATGGCATGCAGATGAGCACGAGATTGGGCAGCTTTATTAGATGCCACAGAGACTGTTAGTTGACCAAGAGAGCCCCAACGCTCCCCAACAACCTGTATAATTCCAATGCATTAAAAAAGACAAGGTTCAGACCAAAACAAAACGAAATGAGGTAGGCAATGAACTTGCGATGCTTGCTAAGACCTAGAAAGCTATCATAGCATACCTCCTGGAGCCTTCGTCCTTCTCGAGTTGCTTGCTCTTTCGCACGCTTCAATGCTTTAAGTCTCCAACTTGCACCTCCATCCCCAACAACAGAGGGAGATAAAAGTTGGCCCGCACCAGCTTTCGGTTCATCTGTATCTTCTGGATAACCACTTCCATCATCCTTGAAATACGGATTTAATTCTCTGGGATTGACCTTCTTTATCTAACACACAGGGAAGATAAAGTGCAGTTAGTAAACAACCATATAACTGAAAGAAAATGAAAAGGCAGGGAAGCATAATATTGGACCCAAAAAAAATCCCAAGTGATGCAATTTAAGCCACCATTGCAGCAGAAGCTAGAAGGGCAACATATTATATGCTGGCATCACTAGAATCCAGAAGAACACAACTCCACAAAAACAATTTCATAAACAAAACCTTTCACAGCAACCAAAATGAGTAGCTAAAGATTTAGTTTCTCTCTTCTAAAACAAATATTTATTTTCTCAACTAAAAGAATCACAAACCACCTGTTATTTTTAGAAGAAGGTAACTTGTTCTGGGGGGTAAATTTCACTAATCCCTGAGTTTTAATCCATGTCTCATTTTAGTCCTTGAACTGTATAACATGTGACACTTAACCTCCTAAACTAACAATCTTCTGTTTAGTTAGTCCAAATAATAACTTCTGTTTAAATTTCTTAACAAAAGTGGTCATGTCAGTGGCACATGACCACTTTGTTAAGGACAACAGTCGTGGCTGATCTGCTCCCAATTAATGGGGTTACTCAACCTTTCCTCTGCCATCTCATTGCTGACCACTACCAACCAAACAAACAGGACTATGTTGGCTATATAATAGAAACTTAGCAGCCCATTTGTAACACTACAACTACAAAGGTTAGATGCATGATTTACAAGGTGAAAGCGTACCTCCTCAACCTGAGTTTCCTTTGGTTGCTCCTCAACAATCACTGTAGGTGTTCTATCTGTTTTTCCTTCAGGTCTAAGCATCCACTCTAAGCCAATTTCCTTCCTTGCAATTTCTCCATCTTTCGAAGGACTAGTTCCTCTACCACCATCTATATGAAGGAAAGGAGCATGAATGTGATCAACATCATATCATTAGATTAAAAAAAACCTTTTAGAAAAATCGCATAGATAACCAACCAGAGAATTCTTCATCCACAAGGCTTCTTTGACTCCTATTTTTACTCTTTTTCTTTCCGTCTTTTCTACTACCTTTCTTGCGCCTTTCTTTCCTATCAGAATAACTATCACTGTCTTCCCCATCAGAAGGAGGAGAAGAATGATCTTCTGATATATATTCTTTTTTATCACTACTCGATCTCTTCTTTGACCTATAGCTGACCTCATCCTTGGACATATCCTCACTACTTCTCTTTCCTTTTCTCTTACTCTGACTCTTTCTTCTATCACGATCAGAATTTCCCTCACTTTCATTGCCCGAAGAATATGACGATGATGAATACTCATCAGACGAATACCATTTTTTTCTAGACCCCTTCTTTATTCTCTCCAGATCTTCACCATCTGAACTACTACATCGAGAACTCCTCTTTCCCTTCCTACGCTTATCATCATGACTACCTGACCTCTTCTTCTGTTTCTGTTTCTGTTTCTGTTTTGCAGGAGCACTGGAATTCTCATCCTGTTACCAATAGCAAAAACTATTAATCTACTCTTTAGAAAGAACAAGTAAGAAAACAAAACAAAAGAAGGATAGACTCTACTTTATCAATCTGGTCTCGAGGTATGAACTTCACTCCAGCAAGCATTGTTGTTTCTAATTGCAAAGATTTTGGACAAGGTACGTACAGTCAAACAACAGTGTCCTGCAGACAAACACAAAAAGAATAGCAAGATCTGTTACTCTCCAAAAATGAAACACAATAATGTCATACTATAAATTAATGGTTTACATGGTGGGGTTCTGATGTTAAATGGAAAATTATACAATCCATTGTACTCGGTAAGAAAGGTCTAACAATACTTAACCCTTTTTAAGAGGGAGAAAAGTTTCAATAAGAGCTGAAATGTCGCTGCTAAACAGCATTAAACTCTGATAAAAGATGTAATTTGGATTGTTGGAAGAACTTATCACTGTAGATAAATGGTAGCAACTAGAGCTGTGAATAAAATGCCTTTCTAATCTTCCTATCAGCCAAGGATTGCTTCCACAGACTCAAAGCTGTGTACATATTACACACATAACAGTTACTTCCTTTACTTTCAAGTCATATTGACTCACATCATTAATGCCTATTACTCTTCCTTACTTGCACCATTGCATTGCAAAAACTTCAACAGGCAACTAGCATCAACTTACCCGCGAGTTGAAACTGAAGAGCAAACTAAAAACAAAGGGCGTATATTTAAATAGAAGAATCCAGACCAGGTTGGAAAGTGAAGTTCTTGTTCTCGTTGGTGGCCAAGAAAGCAATGGATTCAAATATCAGCAGAATTCAATTGAGGCATGCGTTGAGAAAAACGAAGAGGAGTTGATGCAAGCAGAAGAAAAAAGGCAACAAAAGAGGAAGGGTACTAAAAACCGATCAATGAAAAATGAGAAAACCCAAACTTCAGTTATTGAAACCTAGCATTTCAAGTTAAGCACGCATATAAATTCTTGAAAAATTAGAGAATGAAATTACCAGAAGCGGCGTGCTTTGTGGCTATGGTCTACAAAGGGCATTCACTATTGATTGATTAAAGCTAATGTTGAGTCAGCCCTTAAGTTTTTGTACCAAAACCCAGACTAATTAGATTAGATATGACTGCGAAGAGAAGGAGAGAGGGAGGGAGAGAAGGATATAGTTGGTCGCGGAAGGGAAAATCTTTAGGGGTTAGGTTGGGTCGGCGTCGGGAGGGTTTGTTGGGGTGGGTCGCTGGCGGATTTGTGGGTGTGTCGGAGAAGGTGGCTGGGGGAGAGAGACGACGAAGGTAGAGAAAATTCTCTGTTTTTTTTTAAATTTGTTTTAATTATGTTTTAAAAATATTATGTAATATTTTAAGGATTTTTTTATTGACACATCAACACAAAAGTGGGTCCTTCACTTGTCATGTCATTAAAATTGACAGATTTTTAGATTAAGTTGACGATATGAGGCAAAATAGGTCACCAAACCTCGGTCAACGATGAAAGTTGGTCATTTTGAGATTGGAGGAAATACATTTAGCTAGTCATTGGGGTCTATCCTCAATTCAAACACTCAAATTGAAATTTCTGTTGCCTGATTACATTCACAGTACACATGCTTAGCTATACCAACTTTGTTTTGTAGTTTTCAATTAAATTATTTTGATGAAATTCACAATTCTATGTAGTATATAAACAAGCCAACGACAATCATGATTCAAACAAACAATTACTCAATTCATTTATGTCCTAAAATTCTAACAATTGTTTTTGCTTCTCATGTTCCTCTTCCTTGTGGAACTTCCAAACCGAAGCCATAATGCCATTAGAGGTTGAGCACTTAGGCTTTTCCCTTTGGATCTGCAATATCAGTCCATAGCACTTGTTAAAACTTAAAAGCATACATACACTTAAAAATGTAGAAAAAGCATATGTGATTTTACTCTTTGCTTAGAGTTGCTCTTGTGGATCTTCACTGTCTTCAACTCATCTGGTCTGTTCTTTAAGTATTCCTTCAACTGCTCCTCATTCATGGCATCTATCATGTTGGTCTGTCAAAATGAGATGAAAAAAAATGCACATGTTAAGTCTTTTAATGTCACAGATTGTGTTTTACCAATGTAACATCTCTCAACACCTTTGACCATGCATTGGTTTCACGGTGTAAGAATCAACGTGATCAATAGTCCAAATGATTTATGACATGCTCAAGTGAAAACCAAACATCTATAATATGCATACGGAAGAAAAACTAGACAATAGAAAATGAAATGAAATATAGTACCCATGTTTTCAGATCCTCTATTTGTTTTTCCAGGACCTCAGCCTCCTTGTCTGCAAGGCTTTTTCTCTCCTCCCATGAAATAACTCTAGACTCTATTGTTGTCTTTGGTTTCTTCGTTCCTTCCCTCGTTGTAGACATTGTTTTCTTCTGATTTCACATAACCAGCAATTTTGGAGATTGAATCAAAGAACTGAAGTAAACCTGCAATGAAATCAATACAAATAATGAACATGTATTTATAGGAAACTAAAAGTAACGGTTGACTTATATAATGGAAAAGTATACATGATTGTATATACATTAAAGCTAGACAGTTACATACCTTTCGAAGAAAGAAAGAAAAAAGCTAGACAGTTGCATGATGAAATGCGTTAAAGAGAAACAAGTGCTCTTTCATATGTTGCCAAAGATTTCAACTTTTTTCTGCTGCAAAGAATGCATTTCGAAGAACCAACACCCCGTGCTCTCTTTCCTCTCAATTTTTCAAATGGTTGCTTACCCATTACATTTAATATTGTAATTCAGAGTTTTCTTCGAGAAAATAAGGTTCGCAAAGCGATAGAGCTTGTTTAAGTAATGCGTAAGAGGGATTTAGCACCTAATGATGCAATCATTTCAATGTTACTCGAAGTTCTTTGTAGGATGCACAAAGTGATGGAGCTCTTGAATCACTTCCGATTTTCTTTGAGATGAATCGTTACGTATTCATGCTCATACCCATACCGTGCAACACAAGAAAGTATTGTAGTATTCTTCAATTCAATGATATAAGATTCAACAGTGTACATTGTAGTGGCTACGTTTGCCTTTTCCAGTTGCTAATATTGATGCAAATTAGCAACCGGGAGTTAAACTGAACTTATATAAAACTTGGAACAGCTCACAGCTAGGGAGAAGAAAAAAAACATCTTCTAGATGCCCATCTTCATTTCATGATAGAAGTTACAAAAGTTTGTATGCCTCTAAAAACCTCAACACTTGAAAAAAAACAACAACAACAAAAAAAGAAAAAATCTACAACAAGATACAAAATAGACATGTAGAAACAAAAGTAAGCAAAGATCCTAGGAGCCAGTATTTGCATAAACATGCTGAGATTTAGAATTGAAAAGTGAGACACTAATTGTCCGCTGCCCTCTTTCGACCCCGACCTCGAGACCTAGTCCTCGGAACATCCTTGGAGGTAACTGGAAGATCTTTCAAAGATTCATCCTCACTTTTCTCATCACCGCTGACAAAAGGTTCAGTTTGGTCTGAACTCGCTTCCTCTTCTTCTGGCAGTTTTCCAGCAATCTCTTGTTTTGAAATCTTATCTCGAAGCTCTCTTAGTTTAGCTTTTTTTGAATTCAAGACCCCAAGAAACTAGAAGAAGTTAAGGAAAATTCAGTCAAGACATTCAGCAAAAAGAATTACTTGCACAAAGATAATTCTCAATTAAATGATCGAGTTGGACAAAAACAATCAAGTCAATCAAATGCCTAATACTCATTTCGAATTATCATGCTGATTAGTTCAAAACTAAAGAATATCTGAAAAACAAAGACATCAAAAATTTGACTCCAAACCATTGCAGGTCATTCTTCATATGAAAAACCAACTCTCACAAGGGTATATCATCTGCGGAACACCACACTCTAGAGTGCAATGATTGTCAATTGTATCATATGGAAAAAGGAGTTTGAAGCTCCATTTACAAAATAAAAAAACATTTTGAGAACACAAAGATAAAAAGCAATATCGATGAGTAGATCATAGAGGTATATTATGGTGCACCTTTGCATAAATAGCGGATTCAAATTCTATCTTCTCATTGGTAAGCTTCTCACTCTGTGCTAGACACTTCTCAGCTTCCACTTTCAATCTCTCAAATGATTGAGTTTTTCTCACAACTTCTTCCTATACATACACATATTCATATACTAACATGAATTAGACAAGCAACCAAATTAGACAATCCAAAGCAACAATTTGGAAGCCTAAAAAAATCAGTCTAATGCAACATCGGCTTCTCCATAAACCCAATGCATCAGGACCAGGAGTAAGTAACATCAAATGGACACAACATCATAGGCATTTATATGAAAAAGTTGACCCAACTGCGTTCCTTCAGAAACACAAAATTCTTCCAAAACATAAACCACAACTTATCTTTGATTGCCAAATTTCAAAAATTCAAAGAGGGAGTTCATATTGGGTAGATTCCAACAAAATATATATAGAGTATAGAGCACTTGAAAGTCATATCATTCATGTTCATAAAACACACTGCTTCAGTATATATAAAAAAATTACAAAAGGGAGGAAATTTACACTTAGCCCAACATTTGCATCCATGAGAAAATCCAATATTGCTGCTGTGGTTTGCTTACTATTAGGCGATGGCTGACATTTCCACCGCCATTCTAGCTTGGTCCCTTCCTTCTCAAAAGTCCATGACAACTGCACAAACAACAATTGCACAATCAAACACACAAATACACTATAAACACAATTTCCCCCAAAATAAAATCCCTAATTTTAATTACTCTTTTGTGGCCGTCGCCGGCATCGGCGAAGCCGTAGGCGGAGTCTGGGTGCTGAAACCCTAGGTAGTGCTCGGCCAATGCCACGTACTCCGAGACCGGCTGATCCCACTGAGCCGCTCGGTCTCTCACTTGTTCTTCCGACGCGTGGCAGATCCAAGCGTTGAGGCCGTCGGTGATGGAGAGGTCGAAGCGGGACTCGAACCACGTGCCCTTCACGTAGATGGGTTGTTGAGCTTCTTTGAGTCGGAGCTTTAAGCACGTGTGCTTGGGGCTCGGGGTCTCCATTGTTGCAGGCTGAAAGCTTTCTCTACACGCTCGGTAAAAGGAGAAACCTTGATTTTGGGTTTTGGGTTTTGGGTCTTCGACTCTTCCCGCCTTCTTTTGATCATATGGATTAACCGATTAAAGTCGGCACCTTTTTTTCCTCTCTCTTTCTTCCGAAAGTATCAAGCTTTTTTATTTTCGAACTGCAAGTCAGAGTCTTTTTTTATAGAATTACAAATGCAAATATAAGTTAAGTCGGTTAATTATGGCAATTTAGAGTATTTAAACCATCCTTGTATGAAAAATTTCTTAAAAGTCATTAAACATTAGATAACACATGATTTTATTCATAGGTTTAGATTAAATAATCTTAGGTTTAGATGAAACAATCTTTGTCAGAAAGAAAAAGAGAAATATAAATTGGATCAAAGAACTGAACTTTCTTATCACCAATCTCACAAAACCTTTTGAGTGTATTTGTGATAAATTTGTATAAAAAATAACCATAAAGCAAATGAGATTAAAAAGAAGGGTCTTTCGCATAGGTTCATGATAACTTTACATTTTATAGAAAAATCCTTCAACTTCAATATTTCAGTAAAATATCATGATGTACTTTGAAGTGTAAAAATTATGATGCATTGAGACCAAAATAAGTAGCTAGTTGAAGATTTGTCAATTTTTTTTATAACTTTCTCTATAAAAAAAAATCATAAAGCAATATGACCATAAAATGACATGGTCAGTGTCACTAACGATAACACAAAACAAAACAAAAGCAGTGTCAGATTGGCATCGACGGATGAATAATCACACAAGGGCATCTTAGGCAGCCGTGCGGTACAACCCCATCTTAAAATTATAACTAGTTTCACCAATCAATCGACCAAAGCCCATCCAGAAAATCATGTCTCTGAAACTCTCTCACTCAGCAATTATTGTGCTCTTTCTCTGCTCCTTCACTACAATCTTAGCTCATGAAGATGAAGACCCAACAATCAAAACAATGGAGGATTTCTCTGGCTACCCTATTCACGAGCCACACTTGAGCTTTCAGAACACTGTCTCTTCACTATCCGTTGACACTCGAAGTTTGCAGAAACAGGTACTTAATCAAATGTGACGAATATTACAATTTCTTGATTGGTTTTTACCAACTTGGTCCCTTTGGCTTATTGGGTTTTATAAAGTGTCTCATAAATAAAGCTGTTTGAGAAACTTGGGTGTGTTCCTTTGTTCATATCTGAGCTAATTTTGTGAATATTTGGTTTTTAGATTGATGAACTTTCAACTTTCTCGGATACACCTGCCCCATCAGTTACCAGGATCTTGTACTCTGACAAGGATGTATTGGCTCGTAGGTATGTATGTCATTATATCAGTATCTATCAATCAGCTAAGCTTAAATTTTAGCCAATCCATTCAGATTTCTTACTAAATTTTGCTTGATTGTAGAATATCAGCATTCTGTACCATTTATGTTGTATATATAGATTGACGAGCAATAGGATACTTGCATATTGCATCTCAATGGTGTGTTATATATCTTATATGTTGACAGGATGAGAACTCTGGTAATGCATACAAATATTGAGATTTAACCTTTGCTATGTCTCTAATTTTGTTTTTTTTTGGGTAATGTTTAACTGCAGATTCATCAAAAATTTGATGGGACTCTCTGGTCTCTCTGTTAGAGAGGATGCTATTGGTAACATATTTGGTCGGTGGTGAGTGCACTATGCCCCAATCTTGTAACTTTTATTTGTATTCAATTCTGTCATTTTAACATTGTACGGTTATAAACTTGGGGTTTCAATTAAACTTTGGAAAACCCTGATTCCCAACTTCTTTGGGTGTGGTAGTTTGGTACTTATCCGTTTTTGTCCTCCTTCATCCTTGTAGCCCAGAGCTGGGCCTTGTTTAGTTTGGTTACATTATTCTTTATATAACACTTTCATTTTGTTGACCATGTTTTTGTCTTGCTTTCCTATATGCAGGGAAGGCTATAACCCAGATCTTTCTGCAGTTGGAACTGGCTCTCACATTGATGCCATTCCATACTCCGGAAAGTATGATGGGGTTGTGGGTGTTCTAGGTGCTATAGAAGCCATCAACGTACTAAAAAGGTTTGCACCTTTCATGAGTCCTGGCTGATGTTAATATGCACCTAGGTATTAGAAAAATTTCGAAGTCTGAACATAAAATTGCCATCTTAATTTATTTGGGCGAGCCTGGAGCCTTAGCATGCTTGATTTGGCTCCACGAGATATTCTCCCTGTAATGTATCCCTTTAGCATTTCTATTAGCAATTAAGTTTTACATTCGTGGGTGATCTAATTTTATTTATTTTTTAGCTAAGAGGCTTATAATTAGCTCTCTTCTGGTAGTATAAGTTTACCACATAGATGCAGGGTTGAACTACTCAGATGGCCATCTGCTTTCAAACCAGAAGTAGGATAAGTCTGGACCCAAGGGGAGTTGATCTCAACACACTCATCTATAGATGATTCAGCAAGAGATTGTAAACATTTGTTGTAGTTGAATAGTATCGTACCCTTTCATCCAAATATACCCCGAAAGTGTATAATAACATTGGGTTTACAGCAGCATGTTCCATGGTATCTTGATTTTCATTTATCATCTTATAAGTTGAATTATTGTTTGAGGAACTTAATGATGCAAAAAATCATAATCAATTTAAATCATTTGCAGTCTCTGGAAAGGGAGACAAGGATGAAGCACCAAACATGTCTATCCTACATAAAATACTAATTAAATACTAATTAAATCAGAATATTGAGTAGATTGTAACATTGTGGAAGTATTGGTAATGGAAAATATCCTTATCAGAAAGTACAATTTCAAATTTTGTATGTGGTTTTCCTAAGGTGAAATGTAGTTCCAACTCTCTGGTTATGCAACTGGCTGTTTGACAGGTCTGGGTTCAAACCTAAACGATCACTGGAAGTTATCTTGTTCACCTCAGAAGAGCCAACACGCTTTGGAATCAGCTGTCTGGGAAGGTTAGGACCACTTACAGTTTAACTCACAAGAAGCCATACTTATGTTTCAGTTAATTTTCTGCTCAAAACCTTTTATCCACTTTATGTTTTAATTTTTAAATTTTGGCTTGACTCCAACAATGAGGTGTATTGATTTAGTAAATCCATTCTACCTTTTCCCTATATCTAATTAAAATATTGTGCAGCCGCCTAATGGCGGGGAGTAAGGCACTTGCTAACGCTCTGAAGACAACAGTTGATGGTCAAAATATATCCTTCTTTGATGCTTCACAATCTGCTGGTTACACCAAGGATGAAGGGGACTTATCCAGCGTGTTCCTGGAAAAAGGAAGCTACTCTGCTTTTGTGGAATTGCATATTGAGCAGGGCCCTATTTTGGAGGATGAAGGTAGGCCTTTTTTGACATATACATTCCTGACATTAGGCATAATATCTTATACCGATCAACCGTGTGTTTTTTGGTCCAGGTATATCAATTGGCATTGTAACAGCCATTGCAGCCCCAGCAAGCATAAAAGTGGATTTTGAAGGCAATGGAGGCCATGCGGGCGCTGTCCTAATGCCAAATAGGTGAATTATTTTTCAGGCTGTAAAAAGAGGACTATATCAACTGGTGTAGTTTCCATGTTGAAGAGGTCCAGGATTATATGCAATTGGCCCCACCCCCTACGCCCACCCGCCCAGTGTTCATGATATTTCCCCAATAGTTTTTGAAAATGGACTCGTCCTGCTAAACTAATTATTTTTTTGGTTAAAATCAGAGTGAGTAATGAATCTGTGTAATATTTCCTTTTATTACTGACATTGCATTACGAATACAAGTTCTACCGCAGTTTCCTCGCCTGAGGTTTTCAATTTTGCTAATCATTCTAAATTTTTCCTTCGATTTATTTTGGTTCTGTTCAATTTCAACATCTTAGTTTTTTTTCCCTTTGCTCATTTCAAGTCCCTTCCAGGAATTACTGTGACTGCAGATGCGTATCAGTAGTATTATATTTCCTAATGTCAAATATGAGCTATCTCGAATGACGTCATCCTTACCAGTTTCTTGTTATACTTGTTCCATTAAACATGAAGCATAACTGTTTCATACATCATTTGTACCAGAAATGATGCTGGACTGGCAGCTGCAGAATTAGCGCTAGCTGTTGAGAGACATGTATTAGAATCTGGATCTATTGATACTGTTGGTACAGTTGGTAAGTTGTGTTTCCTTCACACCTAAACGTAGGACAATGGCTTAATTCTTTGACTTTCTTCAATATTTTGTTGAACTGTTTTAGTGCTCATGTTGGCTGTTGTTAATAATTCCTTTTGACAAGGTATTCTGGAGCTACATCCTGGAGCCATCAACAGCATCCCGAGCAAATCACATCTAGAAATTGGTATGCTTTGTGGGATTACCTTTTCAAGTACAACATACAATTTATAGTACCAAGTTGGTTTTTCCTTACAGTACTTTGTGGTTGTTAAATTTACTGAAGTTTTAGAAGATCATTGTATATCCCTTTCTCATGGCTTTGCCATAATTTGAGCTTTTTGGATACCAATCTTTGGATTATATATAATATGTGTGTATTTTTTTCATTTTGCAGACACAAGAGACATTGATGAAGAACGAAGAAACATTGTAATTGAGAAAATCCATCAATCTGCAATTACTATAGCCAGTAAACGTGGGGTCAATCTATCAGAATTCAAAATTGTAAATCAGGATCCACCAGCACTTTCTGATAAATCAATACTTGATGCAATGGAAGCTTCATCGAAAGAGCTAAACCTAACACACAAGTTTATGATTAGCCGAGCTTACCATGATTCACTGTTCATGGCCAGGTAAGAGAGTCTGGAAGTTCTACATTTATCCCTGCAGCTCACCCCCGAGAAAACAAGAAAAACGAATCAACAAAACCATGGTTTATTTATCCCATGTTCATCAGAAGTTCAGCTGTTTAGTACATGCTTATTCATACTCCGCAAAGGGTTACTTAGGATTTAACATACCTTTATTTGGAGAAATTCAGATGGTGAAGAGAATGCCATAATTATCTTTTTCCACAAATAGATTCTGATGATATATTTTCATATCCTTGCAGAGTATCCTCGATGGGTATGATATTCATTCCATGTTACAAAGGTAGAATATCCTGTCTATTTTTGTCTACAAACGAGGAATCATTTCCACTTGCTGGTAACCCTATGATGGATCAAGTGATCGATACAAGGCTCGTATATACTGACGTCCATTTGGTTTTGCAGGTTACAGCCACAAGCCTGAAGAATATGCCTCCAGTCAGGATATATCTAATGGGGTCAAGGTTTTAGCCTTGACCCTTGCCAAGTTGTCATTGCAGTGATGTTTCTTCCATTTTAGTGTTGTTGGCTGGATAAACTAAGTTTACATATTAGGGGTGTATCGTTCCATTTACGCCCTTGTGTTTCTGTAATGATGATTTGTATGCATACTTTCCATCGAAGACTCTATTACCACGTTAATTGTAAAGAAAAATCAACCTTTCACAACTTAGTTGAGAGAGAGAGAGAGAGAGAGAGAGAGAGAGAGAGAGAGAGAGGGCGGAAAGAGAAAACTCTGTAAACACCATATTATTTATTGTCAAGAGTAGATTTGATCTTAGAACAGGGGACTATAAAGCAAAGGACTAATCTTGTTTCTCTCATCTATCTCATATACATCATCATATGTCTCAAACTCAAACTTTACTGGAAAAAGAAATTTCTGAAATCCAAAGATGGAATCAATTTCTGAGTCAATGCCTTCATGCTGCAGCAACAGCGGTCTCCTCTATTTTCTCAGCCTTTTCCAGCAAAATCGCAATCTATGAGATCACACAAGAAGGGAAAATTAGGGGATTAATGCAGAATAATTACAATTCAGCAAATAACATGACAATTCTGATAATCAAAGGCAGTCACAAATTCCAGCACTTAATTAAGAAGTGATTAAACAACCTGAGCCTTGAGAACAATCCGTCCATTTTCAACATCCACCAGCTTTGAGACAACAGTACAGGTGCTGATCTCTGTTCAATCACCCCAAACAAACCATTATGATAAAGATAATAGCAAAATAGCATTGTAAATGAAACAAATATCAATTGAAGCCATAAATTGAACTTACTCTTTTCAACAGCCAGTCCATTCCTTTTGAGAGTCTCAGCAATTGTGATCACAGTAGGAATAGCTGTACCAAATTACTTCCCCAAGTTAATTAAAAGAAAATTATGCATCTTGAGAAGATAACAAAATTACCAAACAATAGCAGATACTGGCCAAAGAAGACCAGCTGCACCCAATATTGTTACTCAATCACTCAATAGTATGTGGAAATAAATAAATATGCAAGAGAAAAGGGGGAGTTTCAAGAAGTTGTACCCATGCCCAAGGCAAAGAGCTCAACAGAATTGTACTGCTTGATGTGCCTCTGCAACAAACAATAGATCATTCAATAAACCTCCATTACAAAGAGGCAAACACAAATTAATTCACTCACAAAATTGAGGAACCCTAATCACTCAGAAAATTGACAAAATTGCAATTCAGATTAATTCATGTACTGGAATTGTAAACTAGTGGATTGATTCAGGGGATAATGAACATCCTAAAGCGCCAAAAATCTTCCGAATTGGGAATAATGGATACATTTTCTGGTTAATCAGATCAAGATTCGACAAAACACTGCAAGAACGTAAACCCTATCGGCCATCCATTAATTTTCTTTCCCTCTGGTTTCTCATCAACCAAACATGCATGAGACAAGAAAGCGAGAGAAAACGTATACACATTTCTATGAATATATAGATTATACCTTGGCAAGATTGCAGTAGAAGAGGAAAGGTCGCTTGGAGTTGGAAACATGAATTCGGTTCTTGTTCATCTTCTTCGTCTTCTTCTGAGACTCAGCAGCAGTAGCAGCGATATCAGCAGTAGCAGCGATATCAGCAGTAGCAGCGTTCTTGGCCTCGCCACCATCATCACCAACAACAACAGGCTTCTTGTCGTTCACTATCTCCATGGCCTTGAGCTCCTCTACAACAACAGCTACACTCGCCTCCATTGAAATCTCTCTCTCTCTCTCTCTCTCTCTCTGTGTAAAGGGCGGGAAAGTTTTGATGGAAAGCTTTGTGAAATGTCTGAGTCGAGTGTGACGGGACGGGTTTATATCGGCGGGCTGGGCATGCTGTTCCAATGAGAAATAGACACGTGGTCGTGTATGATTGGTTGGGATGTTCTTGCGGTTAGGCTCTAACGGTACGGTTAGGCAAGCTGTAGAGCGCAGTGGTGGTAGTTGCTTAATTCCCAGTGACGGATTTGCCCTTGTGAGCTTCTTGGAATTGCAACATTACCATCTGTATTGAGAACATGAAATTGTAGGTCCGTTTGATTTCATCTTGACCCCAAAAGAAATTGAACGATCAAGCCCAAGCCCTATTTTTGGGCTTATTTATGTAGCACATAGAAAATTTTTGTAGTTCACCTAATTTTTTTCCTTTTTAATTTTTTCTTATTCTCCACCAAACATCTACTTATTGAGAAATAATTTGTTGCAAGGAGCGTGTAGGTTAATTGGTTAAGAGCATGCAGTCGTGAGTTCAAATCTTCTTTCTCCAATATCTTTTGCGCTCAAAAAGGAAAAAAGATAATTAATTCCTACAAGAAAACCTCATATTTGATAAATTAGTAGACTCCTTTCTCTCTAACATTTCCCTTTTATTTCCTAAGCCAAGCCCACTTCACTCGACTCTTACTCAACTATATGTATAAATTTTTCAAAACACCTAAAATTGCAAAACACAATGACTTCATTTGAAATGAACAAATACGTAGCAAATGATCCACTAGTGTAGTGATTTGGAGAAAATTCTCCCTCCAAAAAAGATTTTGGGTTCGAGTTTAAAATAAATAATAGGCTTAAATGTTAAAATGGTCCCTGTGTTTTACACATTTGGCAAATTTAATCCCTGTGTTTTCAATTTGGTTAATTTAGTCCCCGTGTTTTACTCCGTTAGCCAATGTCGTCCATTATGTTAAATTACCTTTAAAAAAATTCATTAAATTTTTAATAATTAATATTTAAAAAATTGTTAAGTTCAGTTTATAATATTAATACAAATAACAAAATAAGAAAATAAATAAGAAATTCTGGAAAACCAACAGACTGTGTCCTCCTCTCATGCTGCTGCCGCCTCCCAACCCAACACCACAACCATCAGTTGCCTGCCAATACTGATGTTGAATCTTTATTTCACTCATATTTGTGGGGGTGTTGTGGGGAGGGAAGGAAGGGCTCGGGCTAAGTTTCTTTATCCCTCTAAGGGTTTGTTGGTTCGTAAATTTGTGCCCCTCACCTGGGCTAGGGCCCGATTCTTGATGGCTCCAAGAGATAACCCGTCAAGGAAACCTCCAATTGTTGTACTCATGATATTGAAAGGTGAGGCACTTTACTGCAATGAATGTGGAGCAGAGCAAAAGAATCAGCGAAAAGAAACTGAAGAACTTGGTTGCCATGTTGGGATTCGACAATTGAAAAAAATAGAGAGAGAGAGAGAGAGAGAGAGAGAGAGTAGGGTGGTGGCTGGGACTCCTCATGGTGGTTGTGGTGGCATGAGAACATAGAGACTGTCGGGTTTCCAGATTGTTTTTTTTAACACTTTGTTATTTTAATTCATATTTGTTTGCTTTGTAAATAGAACTTAATAATTTTTAAAATTTTAAATGAATTTTTTAACGGCAATTTAACGAAATGGACAACATTGGCTAATGGAGTAAAACACAGGGACTAAATTGGTCAAATTAAAACACAAGGACTAAATTTGCCAATTGACTAAAACACAAGGACCATTTTAACATTTAAATATTCTACCTACTAATAGAATATTGAGGGCAACCCACACTCGTGCGAACAATCACAACATCAATTCATCAATTAAATATAACGTGATTTTTCACAAGTAGCCAGTAGACCAACTTAGCACAATTTGTATTTCTTTTTCCGTCGAATAAAATCTCTAACATAAGCTGCAAGGCTGAGGCCATTTTAAATTAAGTCTCCTTGTCCCCCAATCATCCCCAACAATACTGGCCAGTCTAGATGATTCTCAAAGGTTGTTACTAACTAGCATTTTTTTTTTATTATCAAAGAAACGAACGAGCCTCTTTGAATCCTCCCAATCAAGCTTTGAAACTTTTGATTATTCATTTAATCTTCAACCAAAGAAAGCTTTGCTAGTTATATTAACAATGCATTGTGCATTCGGTAGAGACTCTAAGCGTGAGGAAAACTTAACTACGGCGGTTTTATATGAGTAACGATTGTGAAGAAATCATGTGATAAGAATACAGAAAGTAATGAATCGGAGAACTTAGCAAATGTAGGTTAGGTAGTTGACGAATGTAGTGTGCATGCTCTCTTGCATCCGAATTCAAACTCCCTCTTCGTATGTTAAACTAATGTAGAATACAACCTTTTTATTTCTTATGTGTTAGTGACGTGGGCAAGTTCCGTTTCTTCTTTATACCCATCCATAGTAAAGCAAAGAAGAAGAGGAATGAAAGTTTCTCACACAATACACACAAAACTTTCACAGGCAATCATGTCCGTTGGCATGTTAAATGTCCAATGTGGGACCCGTGATCAATGGCTCAATGTTGAATTTCAAGCCGTGATATGGGGGACGTGGGCCCCAATCACGGGTGTGTCCCTACATGAACTTGATTTATTTAATATTACATGCCTTAAATGGCACCCTTTCTCCTACTTCCTTCAACAACACCACAAAAGTCATAGAGCCTCACAGCTCACAAGCTCACTTACATACACCCACCCACCGGCTCATCCTGTCCATTACTAACTACACATTTATCTGCTCCATAATCTTCATTATCTTCAATTAATCTGCCATTCAACTACCCACTAATATCAATTATAGCCTCACTTTCGGTTCACCCCACAATTGTTTAGACCCTTTTCCTCCCACCCACTGCATGTTTAGGATTCTCTAATTTGATAAAGATTAATTAGCTGAGGGAGGTTGAACAGTCATAATCCTCTATCTTCATTTTTTATTGTTTTGGATACCATGTTACCTGCAATTAAGGTTTCTAAACTTACGTACAACATAGAGATATCAGCTATCAGTTATCGCGTGTGGGTCTTGCATTGTTGCATGCATAAATTATTGAAGATGTGTAATTGAATTTGTAAAAATCCCAAGGTGTTAAGAAGAAAGAGAGATAAAAGTATCGTACTATCATATACCGTGCAAATCAACAATGAAGTAAGAAATGAGGATCAAACTTAGAACATCTACGATCCGTATCACACAAAAGTTAGTAACCCTACAAATTCAAAACTGTTAAGGAATGAGCAAATACTGTATATCAAGTTTTAGTTGATGCTGCCCTCTTTCCCCCCCCCCCCCCCCCCTAATCAATAAATCACACATCAAGTTGGAAAACACCTAGCAGATGTCCCGAATGACATAGCTGTTAACAATGAAGTTTAAGAGAATGAGCATGGGTATTATGGGTATTTGGGGCATTTAAAGAAAATAAAGGGATTGATGGATTAATTAGAGGGTGTTGGGGCTTTATCAAAAGGGTTAAGCAGGAATAATCAAAGGAGGGGGCCTATGCAATAATTACAGATGGAACGTTTGCTCTTTCATTGCTTTTTGGTTAAGACATGAACATCTTCTTCATAATTTGGCAACCCCTCCGTCAAGGCCTCTAACCCTCACGTTTAGCACCAACAAATTTGCCAAATTATCCTTAAAAAAATATTTTTTTAAAGGAAAAAAGAGAAGGATTAAAGTTAATCATATAATTAAGCATTGCTTTCAAAGAAAATAATAATAATAATATACAACATTTTTCCAAATCATGCATTTATAAATTAAACAAAGTTGCTAGTTAGTTTGCAATGCTTGTAGTTGGTCAATTCTCCTTCACTTCAAACCCCAAATAGTCAATTTAAAAAAAGAAGGCTCTATCTAGTTTATTTTATTTGTTGTTTACCCATATGCTTTTTCTTTTTGCTAATTTTGGGAATACCAACGCATCTAAAAAGAAGGCTTTAATGCTGTCAAAGAAAGAAATAATGCTTTAATGATTTTCTCCTAACAAGGGTATAAATTTGTTTGTCCAAAAAAAAAATGTATAAATTTGAAAATTGAAGGAGCTCCCTTTCCTTCTAAATTGTAGTACTTTACCACTCTTATTCTTTTTTAACGAAAAAACACCTCATTACCACTAAATTACATAGAACTATTAATTGGCCAATGTATTCTAAGGTTTAGTAATGTCATATTTTTATGTATTCTAACGTAATCGTTAGTGGAGGTACACTAAATTGTCTTAATTTTGATGTTATATTGCTCCGTTATTGTAATAGGCTTTTTTGGCTATTGACTTTTTTGGCTAAATTATGAATGAAATTCTAGAAATTTTTTTAAAAGAAAAAGTTTAAAGTTTAAGAGAGACGAAAATTGAATTCGGAATTGTGAGTATGAAAACAAGTGTTCCATTAGACTAGTGAAGCTATATTTTACAAAAAGTTATCGATTGAAAAATTACTTTAATAATTAACATATAAAAATATTATTTATCCTTCCATATTGTTATTTTTTTTCATCCTTCTCATTTTTAATGACAAATTCTTATCCATACCTGCAAAAAGTGGAAAATTAGAGTTCATTAATTTATTTCAAGATAATGATTAATGAAGAAGGTGAAGGCCGTTAAGAAACGGCGTTAGTGCCGACGAGGCAGTGCGCATATATAAGAAAGCAACAGAAAACTCACTACGCTTGAAAACATAACAGCTCGATAAGGCGAGCGAGACAAGGTGCACACAGAGGCGAAGAGGCTCACTGACAAACACAGTGAAATCCTCTACATCTTCTTCAAACTTCGGACTAAAACCGTGAGTAAATTACCACGCTTGCCACCTTCTCTTCCAGTTTCTGGCTTTCGATCTGCTTCAAATGCTTATGCTTGTGAATGCATGAAATGTAGCAACGATTTGTGCGATGCCGTTTTTGTTTGATCTGTTTCTGGTTATGCTTCCATGTGCATTTGGCTTGATTTTGCTGCTTTTATATGAATACCCAGATTTTTGAATCTGTTGTTTGCATATATGTGTATCATGTATGCGTATGTACTTATTTGCTTTATGTGTGAAGTGAAGGCCGTCACTGTAGATCTTTGTTTGGATGCTGAGAAAATGCAGCACAGAAAAGATACGAAATTCTTTGGATTTTGGTGTATTTTCAGTATCTGGGGCATGAGAAAGCTAGAGCCTTTACTCAAATGTGGTTACTATTCATTACAAGTTAGCCCATTTTAGGTGAAATGGGTTTGTCCTTATATTGGTTTGCGTGTGTATGTGTCAAAGAAAAATGTCTGATTTTTTTTAATTAAAAAAATAAAACTTATTTACTCAGCCGAAGCTAATCGCTATATTGGGTTCAGTTGGGCTAATTAACCATGATAATCCATTTTTATTTGTTCTAATTTCTTGCACATGCTCTTTCGGTGTTTGTTTGGAATATTGGGTGTGTTTTGTTTTGCATTTACTCCAAAAGATTTGAGTTGTGAGATCCTTATACCTTTTAAATTCAAGCTTAGTGTATGGTTACATATTTGTTAGTTTGCATAAAATTTGAAAGTGAAGTTAATAAGTGACTTTGTTTATTAAAGAGATTCTATATTTGTTGAAATCCCTTTGTTTTTGCTTTTCTGTCATATACTTATACTTGTGTCGCATAATTGCCTCTTATTGAGTTTAACTTTAGTACAAAGTGCTTCTCTTTTGCTTTGTAAACACCTTGCAGTCTTTTTCTTCTGTGTTACTCTTCCTGAGACTTTATTTGGCGATTTCTCAGGTGTTATGTTGACTCATCATTGGAATTATGGAATGAGCACACCTACCTATTTTATTTCTTAGTGTTGTTCCCCTTATTTGCCTTCGCATCTCTGGTTGTTGGGAAAGCAAATGATTCTGTCTCTTGCTACTTTGTGTTAAATAATTAACATCTCTTTTCATACTCACCAAATGCATCATACTCACTGAATGGAATAATTTTTCTTAATTGTTTGTATTCTTTATCATCTCTCCTCACTTGCTCTGACATATTTTTTGCTCAACCATCATCTTCTTTTGCTACTTCAGGGTAATCTCCATTTATCTGCAGAAAATTTAGTATACAAATCCTCCTCTTGGAAAAGTGAAACATAGGGGAGCTTTGTCCTTTTAGGAAAAAAAAATTTGGCTTTTGGAGGGGTGGTTGTGAAAGAAGGGGCGTTCTCATCTGTCTTTTAGAAACTAAATCATAATGATTCTAACTCATGTTGAGTATCCTAAACTAAAATCATGTCACATTTCTGTTAGATACTATAGCTGTTCTGCAATTGCTTTGTTTTTTTTTCTCTTCATGTGGTGTGCCTTCTAACGTGCAATGTTTAACACATTATATTGTAACTTATTGCAATTCTGTCTTTTTCACTCTTTAATCTTCTCTTGCATCTTCTTTTGTTCCCCTCTGTCCTTCATCTTCTTCTTTTTGGTAAGCAACAATAAATTAGTTTTTTTCCCAGCAGCAGCATATCCAGAAGGATAGTATCTAATATCTTCAGTTATTTATGTGTATTATTTTGAGGTGAACTTGTTCTGTGTTTTGATTACTTAAAAACCGTAACTCAATTAGTTTGCAAACCAGATAAACGTATAATGGTATTGATACAATTATGTGTTTTTTCTGTATTGCAAGTGCAATGGGGATAGAAGTTACAGATATTTGCATGGACAAGGAATCAGAATGTGTGATAGTTTATTCAGAAGGTCTTTCTCATGATTCAAATCATGAGAGAATTCCCAGCGATCATGCGATTTCCGAGTCATATGAGCATATTAATGGAGATCGTGAACCCCAAAATTTGGAAGAGAGCATTGAAGTAAAGGAATATGAAGTGAAGGAATGTACTACAGAAAACTCTGTTGATGTTTCTCAAATGAGTCATGTTGAAAAATCTAATGAAGATCAGAATGCAGTAGGCTTGAATTCTGAGAATGACCGGCCTGTGGAGAAGGTCCAACTGAATTCTCGGAAAACGAAAGATAGTAATAAGTCACGAGCATCTGTAAATCACACATCAAAATCTGCTGCTGGAAATGCTAGAACAAAACACACTGTTCCACAGCCATTTACCTTGGCGACTGAAAAGCGTGCTTTATGTGGAACTCGTCCAGTCAGTGCTGTACTTGATTGCGGAAATGGTGGCAATAAATTATCAAACACAAGTGATCTGCGACATCTTCATACCACAAAGCATAACCAGGTAGCTCCTGCCAACTAAGCCTAGAAATGCAATATTGGTTGTTTTAACATTCCCTATCTATTGGTTGGTTCTTGTTTATTCTTTTGGATGTAACTTTGTAACATATCCCTGCCCTGCCCTAGAAGTTTGTAATATACTGAAAGATTTTCTATTGATTTTTCTTTGACTTGATTGCATGTATTATCTCTGTTGAAGTAGTAAAATTTCTTGATGACATCTTTGTCTATGCAGCCAATATCACCTTTGATATCAAGGAAGCCTTTGCAACCAGATAAGAAGAAACATCTTGATGAGGAAGATTCCTGTTCTGTTGCTTCCTCGTATCCTACTACAATTTGAAGTCTTAGCTGGATTCATTTGCCTTTTTATCTTCTTCCTACTACTCATTTCTTATTTGAATTTGAATTCTATTCCTTGAACATGCATAGCACAGTATCACGGACTATTAGGTCCAGAGCAACTGCTGCATCAGCTCCAACATTTAGATGCACTGAGCGTGCGGAGAAAAGGAAGGAGGTATTGCCTTCACTGATTTTTATTGTGTGGAGTTAATTTCATAAGTTCCATGATGAAAAATGGCCCTAGTTAAGAACTTAACTTTAAGCCATTATTATGCTGTCAAATTTTAGTTTTATACAAAGTTAGAGGAGAAACACCAAGCACTGGAGGCTGAAAAAACTCAAAGTGAAGCAAGGACCAAGGTTTGATTTTTTTCTCAAGTTTCTCTATCTCTCTCTCTCTCTCTCACATAATGTTGAACAGATGGTGTCTGTGGGTCCATTGCTTTCTGGCACTTCTTTTGATCTGTTAATGCTTTTTAGTCCAGGCTGATCGTTCTAATATTTTCTTTGCTTTTGGCTGCTTCACAATCTTGGAATTTCAAGGACGAGAAGGAGGCAGCTATCAAGCAACTGAGAAGGAGTTTAATGTTTAAGGCAAACCCGATGCCAAGCTTCTACCATGAGGGACCTCCACCTAAGACTGAACTTAAAAAGGTCATACAGAGAATTATCTCGTTCTTACTTCTTACCCTGTATGAGATACTGATATGCTATTTGAAACCACAGGTTCTGCCAAATTTTTAGAGGAAGTACGAAGTAATGAATTTATAGTTTTAATATATGTGTAAACAGCAGCTCAAGTTTCTTAATATTTTGCTTCTCTGGATGCCAGCTGCCACCAACTCGTGCAAAATCACCAAAGCTTGGTCGGAGGAAGAGCTGCAGTGATACGGTCAAATTATCCCACGGAGATAGAAGCAAAGGAACTTTTGGTCGAGGAAATCGTCACAGTATGGGTAACTGCAAAGAAGACACCACTTATGCTGGTTCTCCAAAAAGTGAAGCTCAGATCAACATCCAAAAGGGTAATGCTGTTTCTGAATTCATTGATGAGACTAAGAACGTGGATGAGATGAACAAGTTCGTTCCTGCCAGCCTAAATGGACAGCATATGGACATTTTTGTTCAATCTTGAGTTTTCTGGTGAGTTTCGTAATTTATAAGAAAAAGAGAGTTTTCAGTGTCTGTCTCAATCTTGTGACTTGCTCTAAATTATTTGCATTTCATGCTTCTGTAACTGGCAGTGACTTGCTGCATCGTTTGTGTGTAATGTGTAAGTGTACATCTTCTGTAATTTATATCCACTCATGTATATGAAGAGCTATTTATTTCCCAAGAAGACAGTTTGCACATGTTTGAATAATCTAATTAAATGTTGGAGGTCAACCTATTTCTCTATGCAACTTATTTTAAAAACAATAATAATGCGGCACCATCTGCCTGCTTCTTTTAATTTTGGTCTGTACTTCAGTTTATAATAAATGAATTTTATCCCTTTTTTTATTTTTCCCCCTAGACAGAAAACAAATAGAATTTCTATTGGCAGAGTCAATATTCTTACTTTGTAAGTTTGTAACATTTAGATGATGAAAACATCCATGTTTTCAGTGAAGATTGTGTACCTGTATGTCCAGGTTACATCATGGTGTATGGGAAGTGATGTTTACTTACTGTAACTATAATAGAGAGAAACAAAAAGCTAAGGCAAGGGCCCCATTGATCTGTGCTTTCTTTAAGGTGGAAATTGTGCTATGGAAATCCTTGATTTGATTAAATTGTAGTCAGCTTCATTATGAAAAGTTCTTTAAAGACAAAAGAAAAAGATATCCATAGAGAGTAAAGTGCCCAGTGTTGTAGTTTTTCGTTGTTGAACAGGAAAAAAAAACGACTTTGTGAGCACAGTTTGCCTCATTTGTGGAAGCAAAATTCCCAGTCAAAAGGACAGAGGCTTTAGATTTTGCTCCACTATAAGTTCTTGAGTTCACACCACTTGCTTTTCTTTACGTGTGTCCCTACTTGTGAGCAACTGACTCTAGCAAATTGGCATTTCTACCATGTTCAAGGTCCAAAATTCACAGTTCAGTCTCTATCTTGCTAATCGGAAGCCTAATTAGGGAACGATATCATGGAGGGCATTGCGTCCACTCTGTGTTCCATTAGAACGGCATATTATTGACATCAGCAGCCCCTCACATGAAGTATGCTGCAATTTGCCCCCAAGTCTACTAGCAATGAATGATCATCTTAAATTCCTATTAACATAATACGCAATCTTGGAATTAGTTAGAATCACAAACCCTCTTCTTAACAAAGGAGGACATGCCTCATGACACTACAAGGATGTGGTAACTTTGGCGCCGCTTGGAAGGAAAGTCATTCTTCAATCTTATTGCAAATCACCATTTGAACATATAGGTCAAGATCTTTTTTCATTGGGCTAGACCCCGTTGGCAAGATTAGAAGAGTGTTAGGCAAGTACATAAGTACTACAGGCCTTTCAATCCTAACTTAGAACATATCTGAATTCCTAAATGGTGATTTTGCAGAAAATTGAATTTTTTTTATCAATGTAACTAATGTTGACTTCGAAATTACCAAAAAATAAAATTCGTAATTTCAGCAGAGACGCTTTCTGTTTTTAGGGTAAGGAGGAAAGCTCCCACAATCCATGTTCGCATTGGGTCAAGACCTTAGTAAGGTCAAGATAGGAATAACTTCAAATCATACGCGTCAAGTAAATTTAAATATTTTGGTCTTCCTAAGGGGTCGAATTGAACGTAAGAGAAGTTTGAATTTACAGCTCACCACATACCTACTGCCTTATCAATTTATCAATGGATCACATGTGCATGTTTTCTAGGATCATTTTGTCTATGTCCTTTGTTGTACATTGGGCAGTAGGGATTTTCCTATAAGTAGGCTTGGCATTCATTTCGAATGAAAATATGACCACGTCTCTATAATTTTTTATGCTCATATATATATATATATATATATTTTGCCTAATAGGATGTGGGGATCTATTAAAGGCATAGGACCGCCATGTTTGCTTCTTATCCCACTTCTTCATGTGTAACATGTGTCGGTAAATGTCTGATATAAATTCTGTCTAACAATTTGACTACCCATATCAAGAAATTCAACTTTAAATCTTCAAATAACTGCTCTCACCATCTATTGCTCTCTTTTTTTTTTTCCTTTCATGGTTGATCTGCTTAATCTTTAACAGGCCAACCTGCAATTTCTTTCCATTTAAGCTTGGAATCACACTGTTTAGAGATGTACATGCCCGTAATCTCTTCTTTTTTTTTCGGTTGGCTAAAAGTTAGATAAGGGAGGGGGTTTTCTTACACACACACTACTAAGGTGTCGTGGGGGTTCAAACATGAGACCACTATATGCAAGTCAAGGTCCTTTTCCACTGGACTAGACCTCGTTGGCACGTACACGCCCTTAATCGGTGAAAGCTTTTCCACCTATCATCCACACCATCTTCCCATTTGAAAAATAATCAAAAGAGACAGACACCCTTTACTCTTTACACACACAAATCAAGATTACCATACGCTAATCCGATAATTAAACTTCAGCTTAAGAATCAATGTTGAGTATCCCACAGCAATGTTGATGATCTATGTAGCGATAACCACAGAATTCTTTAAAGAGCTAATCATAACAAATAGGCTACAAGAAAGAGCAGGGCAGGTAACAGAGGTTTCTTCTTGTCTTTAATTACATGCTAAAAGCTGCTCTTGCTTTGACTTGAATTCTGCACCCAGTCCCTCCGTCATTTGAGGCCATTTATTGTCAATAACAAATGGTCTTCATCTTTTTCACCAAACTACATCAAATGGTCAATCCCTTTGACAAGTTTACTTTTGCCCTTCTCCTAGAACTGCTGTGGTTCTGGTTCTAAGAACAAACCAATTTTGATTTTTTTTTTCAGTAGAAAATTTCTTGTCTTTGAAGCAAACAAAATTAGGTAAGGAAATAAATGAAATTTCTTTATTTTTCTTACTCAACTTGGCCTTCTTTTTTAAACCTCCTCCTAAAGGCTGAGAGGTACTAACACCAAATGGAGCCTAAAATTGATTTACAATGCTTTGTGAAAAGCAAATAAGCATGACAGGGAAGCCGTGGAAAGTGGCACTACCATGTCACCTGACCCACATAAGACACTCCTCTCATCTTCACGTATATAAAGGCCCCATGAAAACCAATGCATGGCCAAATCAAAATCTATACACAAACAGTTCTCTCTCTCTCTCTCTCTCTCTCTCTCTCTCTCTCTCTCTGGATCAAATGAGTCACAAATAGTTGAGGGGAATGCTGTCTGGTTCGAGACCATTCCTTTGAAGCAAAGAACATGATCATCCGAATGATCTCGGACCAGGCTTCATTCCCCCCAACACAAAACAAGCCTGCAATACATTCCTTCCTACTGACCATTTTATATGTACACACTTTTATGCATCATTGATCAATGTCCGGACGCCGAGAGCTTTCGACAATCTTGTTCCATTTCAACATGTAAGTATATATTGTATATCTGCCCTTTTATTTTTTAACATTTGGATTATCATTCGATGTTTACTTTTCTCCATCCATTCATTTACAGCCAAAAATGGGATTTGAAGAAAAATAAGAACAATGAAACAAAATGAGAAGATTTTCAGTCCGGACAGGTAATGTATCACAGATTCTCAGGTTTTTTAGTTTTTACTTTAAAGCAAACTCAACCAAGAATCACTCACTTCTTTTAATGAGGAGAAGAAATTAAAGTAGGACTAATTTCTTCTGGTTTACATCTAGTCTAAGATCGATTACATCCATTATTTGTATGTCTAAATGTTTGACAAATTGGATGAAGAGACAAATAATAAAAAACTATTTTCTTCTGGGTTTGTTTTCAAATGCAACCCTGTGCATATTCTATATGTTTCTTCCAAGTCCGTTGAAAAACAGTGATAGGAGCTTGTGTGAAAATATGACTGAATGAAAAGGAAGAAATAAAAACAAAGTTGTGTTTGTGTAGTGAATGTATCATCTTTTTTGGGGTTGAACTTTTCTGCCAATTTGGCTTTGCTTGTGGGGAGTTGCAAAGAATATAAGCCAAGGGAGAGCTTTCACTTTATGTGTTGCATGAAGATGAGCTTTGAATTCACTCCTTTTTTCACCTTATGACTGCCATCATCATAACCCAGCTCCTAATAGTCTTACCCCATATAATATATTCCTCCCTTTTGATAAAATCCCATGTGGGTCAGATCCCACTTCGGCATGAAAAACTAACATTGTAACGGGCTTGTAGATGAAGTGGTTACTTAAGGCCATTTATTCTTGCACTCGAGATCCTAGGTTCGATTCCTTTTTTTTTAGTATTGCTTGTATCAACAAAGAAAAAGAAAAACCAACACTAAATTAGCTTAAGCCCCCACCACATAATAACTATTTGTCCCATATACCATGTGGTTTTATTTAATGCTCTTACAAGTACTAATGTGTCTACTTGAATCTTCACTCATATGTTTCTGAAAATGGGAATGCTACATAAAGTTATGCAGTAAAATCTTAGGTCTGGGTAGGGGCCTGATCAGAGATGGCTTATGAGCCTCATGAATGTGGAAACTGTTTGCTATAGTATATGAGGGACCATATCCATGCTTCATACAGTCCTTCTGAGGAGGATGTCAGTGAAGCACTCAATGTGTGGGCTAATTGTAAAAAAATAATCCATTAAAAAAGAGCAATTGTCAAACAGAATAGTTGTTCACCTGAATTAGCATCTTACTGCTCTACTAATCTTAGAGGAAAATGTATTTACTTCTAGCACATTGCGCGGGATTCGTTCATAAAAGTAAACGTGACATTCACCGTTTATAATGTATTTCACATTGTTATGTGAAGTGGGGTGTCGAACAAACACACATGTTTAGATATTTTCATAAGATATATAATTGATATAGCTAAACCCAAATCATGTTCTATCCTTTTCATTGATTTTGGCAACCATTATTAAACCGTACAATCATAAGAGAATTAACAATCAAATTTGGATCCTTAGATACGACAGCAGATAATCATATACATTACTGTGTCATGTGTACACTTTGTAATCCCCAGGGGAGTCAAAAGAGGAGAGACATCTTGAGTATGTAGGATATAAAGTAATTCCTATGCTCGATAAAGCCATTTGGAATTCTTTTCCTCTCCATATACTTTTGTGTGCTTTTTTGTGATTGACCATTTAAAAATTCTATAAAGTGTTCAATAGCAAATTAAAATGCTTTGGAAAGTCCATTTTCAAAGAGCGAAAGAGAGAATTTTGTTGGGCATCACAATCACAACATTTTTGCAAACACAAAGTTGTGTTAGCGTCGGAAACTTCATTTCAATAGCTTTGTATATGTAAATGTATTATGTATATATGTTAATAATGTGCCATTTATCATCTTAGAGCACCTTCAAGTGAGATGTAAAATGAAAAATGTTAAATTTAGAAGGAAAGAACTTTTAAAGCTTTAAACGAGAATTCGGTTCAACACCGAAAATTCAACAAAAAATAATATAAAACTAAACTGATCAGTCCAATTTGGCCCATTTGACCAGTTTTCGGTCTGAAATGCCCAACCATACCTTTCACCTTTCGAAATCAAAGTCCTAGCCCATGGACAGACTCAAGAAAATGGGCTTAATATTATGCTTTATCTAATTTCTATGCCTCATCATAGTCCTAATTAATTAATGTTGTGTCTTGACAATTTCGTTGATGATGCCAAAACACTGTCACAGCTCACAACATGCAGCATCGCACTTTCCCTCTAATATTGCAATGAAGACAGCTCATGCCCGGTTTGGCACGTTAAAGCCTCAATTAGTCAATTGTAATGACTGTAATTTGGGTTGAATTGCTTTCATGTTCACTTACGTTTATTTTGAAAGTCACTTATTTAAAGATTATCTTTGCAAAGACTCAAATCACATCAAAATATCATTTATCCCATCTAACTGTTATCATATAAAATACGAATATAGTGGTGCGAGTAATTACGATGATGATCATTAACAATGTAACTTAAAAATTAAAAGATTGTATCAGGTGACATGAAAAATTAAAAAAAGAAGATAACTAGCATTCCTATATTCTTATAATAAAAATTTATTTTATAAAAACATGACTACTATTAATAGTAAATTTATCTCACTATCATTTTTACGACCAAATCATTAGTAAAAAAAAATAATTTAAAAATAGAATGGAGTACACGTGGCGCTGAGGGGAATAATAAGGTAAAACCTGTGCCAGATGTCACAAGACGACTTGCAAGTCCACTGATGTGTCATCTACCTGGAAAGCACACGATCTTCATAAGCGACAAAAGAATATCTGTAGGTCCCTTAAACAGTTCAAGGGTCGTCTTAACTACACAAAAATAAAAAATCTTATCCCCAAGAACTCACATGGCCTTTAACCTCAATCTCAGACCGCCCACTCTCTGTTTCACTCGTGTGCCTCACCTGCCAAAAAAATCCGCATACCAGACATTGCACGCGCCAAAAAGTTGACGTACGAAACACAACTCACACCCAACCCAACCCCCATCAACGGTCCTGACGTTGCCACGTCATATCACCGTTCAACCGCCTGAAACTCTCGCTGTTTCTCTCTCTAGAATTTTTCTACCTTCTCCTCTTCTTCCTAATTCTATTGGATCGCTTTACACATAGAGAGAGGGATCGGTCATCGAACGCCGATGTAGGTCCGTTTTCTCGAGCTCTCATTTTCTCGGGAAAACACTTTCTCGGAAAAGCTCGGGTCAAAGAAAATGGAGGCGATGATCTACGATCTGGTGGAGTATGTGGTTGAGTTCTTCACAAAACCCTCGATAACCGAAACATTTGTCGACATTTTGCTCTGCGCAGTCCCGATATGGTTGGCTGTCATGATAGGCTTGGTGATCGGGTGGTCATGGAGGCCCAGGTGGACGGGCCTCCTCTTCCTTGGGCTTCGGAGCAAGGTCCGGTTCCTCTGGACCGCGCCGCCGGGCTTTGGCGCTCGCCGGCTCTGGCTTGCTTTCACGGCGCTCTCCGCTTTCTCCATTTGCCGTACGATTTGGTCCAATTTCAAGAGTAAAGGCAAACTTGCCCCGTCTTCGGCTCCGGACTCGGCGGCTTCGGCTTCCCTAGCCGCGCCGAAGCTTTCGGCCGACGGCACTGACATTGTTGGGTGAGTTTCTAGCTGTTTCAGCTTTGAATAGTAAACCTTTGTAAACATATTTGAATTGTGTTACGGTTTTGCTCTGAGTTTATAGTTTTTAAAAAAATTTTGAATTTGATGTTTTCGGATTCTTTTGTCAATGTATTTTGATATTCGATATTGTTGTTCAACATTTTAATTATGTAATTCGTGTAGTGGAGGACATATTAGTTTGAAGATGTAATCTAGTCATACTTTTCTAACATACTGAAAACACAAATTTAAGGACTTCCAAAAGATTTAGTTAAATGAATTCCGTATTTGTTGGGCAGATACGTAAGAAGCCACACATATAATGGCTGACCGGTTAGGGCTAGAACGCAATTGGAATTTTGTGGAACTGACTGAACTCTGTGATTTTTAATGGCCTTTCGGTTTTACAGAGTAATTGCCTATTCCAAAGTTGGAATTTTGAATGTGGTGATGTTATGATGTTAGAATTTTGAATGTCTTTTTGGTTGTTTCTTCTTTATGATGGGATTTTTACAATCTTTTTATTCGGGTTGGATGGTTATTCATGTTACTGGGGCTATTTGTATTATTACTGCTTTGTTAGTCTAGTTTGCTGGGGATGTCAGATTACTATGTACTCTTTAATTCATTTGAGAAGCAAGAAATATTTTCTTTTGTTGAGTAGACACTGGAAATCAAAGAGTAACCCCTTTTATTAGTTGTATAGATGTTGCGATCCTTATAATTTTACTGTTTTTGTTGTCTCTTATTGTTGCCTTGAAAACTATTGTGCTTGGAATATTGATGTTTATTTCATTGATTCATTGCCTCATGATACCTTCACTTCTCACAGATCCATCACTAGAGGTGCCGAGAGAGTCCAGGATGTTGTCACAGAAACTGATTTGGAGCACCTAGTGAATTTAATTGGAGGGAGAGATGGAGAGATGGAATGGCAAAGTTTGATGGAGAGATCCACCCCGAGCATGGCATACAAAGCATGGCGTCATGATCCTGAGGTAGATTCTGACTTTGACCTTTTCTCCCCTTTAGCATTTAAGTTCTGTGTTTCATCTGCTGAAAACATCTGTCTGAGAACTATCGACATGTAAATAGTTGTTTTATTAAGAAATTGTTAATGGCAGGGATGTCTGTTTTGTATACCTGTTGCTTTTTTTCACATATATTTTTATAATCCTCAATTTACATCTACATCTTCATGTATGATGTTCTTCTAGCCAATCTTGTTTGCAGAAGTAGTAGAAGCACGTATGTTATTCCGTTTTCCATATATTCTCAAATCTAGTTGTCCGTTTGAAAATGCCTAACAAATTTGTTGGCTATAATTTCCTTTCTCTTATTGCTTAATAAAACGATTCATGTAGCTATTTCAGTCACCCTGATTCTTGTTTAGTATCTGATAGTGGTTTTGCTTATCAGACGGGCCCCACTGTATACTGTAGTAGAACTGTCTTTGAGGATGCAACTCACGAGTTGGTCAGAGATTTCTTCTGGGATGATGAGTTTCGACCTAAATGGGATCCAATGCTTACATATTGTAAGATATTGGAGGAATGCCCTCAGACTGGAACTATGATTGTTCACTGGATTAAAAAGGTTTGTGGAACAAAGGATTTAGGCAATTGTATGGTGATTCCATGCTTTCCTTGTATCTCTTTCTAGTTGAAAATATGAATGATTGTTTTCCACATTGTTTCTCTGCGATGCAGTTCCCTTTTTTCTGCAGTGATCGGGAATATTTAATTGGTCGAAGAATATGGGAGGCTGGAAAAACTTATTATTGTGTGACAAAGGTACTTGTTAAAGCATATCCTCATTGTTGCTTGCATTATAGCTTTCTTTCATCAATTGCTTGTTTTACTTAGTGAGAGAGGACATTGTGTTGGTCTTGTAAAAACAGGGATGGAGATCTGTAATAGTGAGCAATTCCATATTTTTCACCTTAGAGAAGAAAAAAAACCCAGGTCGTTGTGTTTCAGATATGAGTCAAACATAGGATAGATCTGAGACGTGTTGGATTGAATCTAATTGATCATCAGAAAAGCTAAACCAGTGTAACTGAAAAGAAAGTGGTTTGATTTGATCGGCACACATTGTCGAAGGAGTACGAGAATGGGTCAGGCAGGTTTACTTGAGTTAGATTTGAAAGTTGAACAAAACAAAACCATGAAACCTGGAAGTCAAGACATGATTTTTTCTTTCTTTCTTCTGTAGTATAATTTTGCTCATCTCAACATGCTGTGCATTTGATTTATTCTGTCCATATTAAGTGAGCATCATGTGTACTATATTTTGCAGATAAAACATATAACTAGGTTTAATTCATATGTTTGTGAGTCTTATTGTGTGAGCTACAAAATTGCAGGGTGTTCCGTATCCAGGTTTGCCTAAGCGTGACAAGCCCAGACGTGTGGAACATTATTTCTCTAGTTGGATTATCAAGGCTGGTAAGAATTGTCGGTTAACAATCTGATTTTGCAGCAAGAAGTTGGTCAATCTTGGCGACAATGTAATGGTTTATACTCATTTGCTGTATTTGAAAAATAAATGCAGTTGAGTCTCGGAAGGGGGATGGACAGTTATCTGCATGCGAGGTTACCCTCGTACACTATGAAGACATGGGGATCCCAAAAGATGTGGCAAAGTTGGGTGTCCGTCATGGGATGTGGTGCACTGTCAAGAAATTACACTCGGGTATGAGAGCATACCAGAATGCGAGGAAATCAGAGGCATCTCCATCTAAATGTGCCCTGATGGCTAGAATCACCACTAAGGTATCCTCTGATGGAAGCATGAATTATTTGGAGCCAGCATCTGGTGAAGAAGAAAAAGGTCAAACCATAAAAAATACAAGACAAAATGACAATGGCATTGATTGGAAATGGATAGTTATAGGTGGAACTGTGGCTCTGGTATGCGGACTTCACACAGGTGCGATTGGGAAAGGATTGTTACTTGGAGCGGGGCAGAGATTTGCCCGAAGGAGATGAGAGTACCGTGCGAAGAGTGTCATTCTAGTCAATTTCAGACATAAGCTGTCTTGTCTTTCTATCTGCTTTCATATTCTTGGATTCTATTTCTAAATCGACACATCAATTGTTACAAATTAAGATAAGTTATATGGGTAAAGGTTTGTATTGGCTTCAAACCTTCAACATAATATGTCTCTATGCGTTTATCTATTCTGGAATTTTATTTTGCGTATATCGCCAAATTTTACTAGCTAAGAGAAATTATATGGGTGAAAGCTCTGTATGTTCGGGTATTATAAATTACAAATACATGACATATTAAAACACTTCAACATGTTAATGGTTTATTATCTTTATAAAAACATGTTAATGGCCAGAATCAACAAAAACTATTATGGATCAGGAGATTCTGGACAAGGTTGAGAAAGTTGTATTTGGGCTACAACTTATAATTACTGGACTAAGCTTGGGGTTCATTTCTAGCCTCAACCTCACCATCCCAAGTCGACCAAAATTTCTTCCTACCTCCAGTAGACCAGAGTAATTTGCCGCGCACCTCCGAAATAACTAGAGATTTTGCGCTATGACCGTAAAGCCGTTACATAGTGTAATAATCTATTTATATTATAATATGTTTAATAAATAATATTATATGACAGTATTACGGTCACGCTCTTCATCAATTCAATGATCATCATAACCACATTTTGCGATCACACAAGATAACGTTCTACTTCTAAGCATTTAACATGCATGTTCAAATTACATTAATATGTCACTTATCGCAAATAGATTTTCTACCTAATCAATAGTGAGTTTGATAGCCTCAACACTCAGCCTGTCAAACACTTTTTTAAGTTATAACTAATAGATCCAAAAATTTCCCATTGCACTGGCAGCTGGAAAAGAATCACGACCATTGATTTCATCTTTCTCCTATGATTGCTCCTCCCATTTAGTCTCACTGTCGCTGCCAGTCGTGATAAACCCTAATCTTATCAATGCCTTTTATGACGAAAGAAACTAGTATTTGTGGATTATTCTACAACATGCCCTCATGTACTGTCCCAATAGATGGAGAGGCTTGAAAGAGACCAATCCCACCTTCCTAAAACGTTATAAAAGCACTAGCGATGTCGAAGGGTCCATACCCTCGGCTGGTGGTTGAGATAGGGCCATGGATGTTAACCCTGATATTAAATTGAAATGAATTTATGGTGTGTTTACTAATTAGGAATTAGAATTCTCATCAGGAATTAAATTCTACCTATGGAGGATTTCTGCCATCTACTTTAACCAAACAACGAGGTCATTTTAGTTATTAGTACCACTCATACTCCAATTCCATATGATTTAGTAAACAAATTCAATAAGAATCCAAAATCTAACTCCCCTCAATTCATATAGTTTAGTAAACAACTTCGATAGGAATATGGAATCTAATTCTCTTCAATCCAACTCCTCCTTAATTCAATTCATCCTCAATTCAATTCCTCTTAATCCAATTACGGATTAATAAACATGTCACTGACAATAATTATATATATACACACACACACACACCATTGTAGGGTCCACTTGTATTGTATTTCAATAATTTGAATCGTCTATATTTTAGGTATTCATTCAAATATCATCTCTGTGAAAAAATAACTTGAATTCAAAATCTTTTGACCATTCAATTCATGATGTCATTTTAGTGCTTTCTTAAAACGTTATGTTCATCTATTTTATTGATCACAATTAGATGCCTTAAAAAATAAATGATTCATATCGTTATTTATTTATTTATTTTTATGTTAGAGTATAGAGAAAAATGAGAGTGAGAATGGAAGTGATGATGAGATTGAGAGAGAGGATGAGAGGGAGGAGTAACTAAAGTGAAAACAAAAACTTGAAAGTGAAAACCATTTCAAATGGATTTTAGTTTTTAGTTTTTGTTTTCACTTTTGTTATTCTAGCACAAAAAATAAAATCTAAAAACTAAAATTGAAATAATTATCAAATGGACTCTTAATTTTTTTTAATTTTTTTTATAGCAAGAATTGGTTCCAGTTTAACCTACTAATTGCATGTTAGGATCTAATCATATTGGGGAGTCCATGTCAAAAGCCGCTGCCTTCCATAATTGTGGAGTTTATGGTGACCTTAATGTTAGGCCATCTCTAGTTATAGACGACGTCATCTATGATGTCAGCATTTTTAATGTTGGCTGTTGGATATGTATTTGCACGAGATGATTCATGCTCTTGCTCGCACTTGATAATTTATTTTCTTCACAAGTACATGCATGGGACCCACAAAAAATATGGCATAGGCCAAAGCTGTGGTACATGTGGCCCGGTTGGAGGGATAAAGGGCCAAATGTGGCCCTTCAAATTTGTCCAAAATTTTATTTAGCCCAACAACGAGGTTATTTTAGTTATTAGTACCGCTCTTACTCCAATTTCATATGATTTAGTAAACAACTTCAATAAGAATCCGAAACATAACTACCCTCAATCCATATGGTTTAGTAAACAACTTTGATAGGAATTCGGAATCTAATTCTCTTCAATCCAACTCCTCTTTAATTCAATTCATCCTCAATTCAATTCCTCCTAATTCAATTACGGATTAGTAAACATGTTATTGACAATAAATAAATACACACACACACACACCATTGTAAGGTCCACTCATATTGTATTTCAATAATTTGAACCGTCTATATTTTAGGTATTCATTCAAATATCATTTCTGCGAAAAAATAACTTGAATTCAAAATCTTTTGACCATTCAATTCATGATGTCATTTTAGTGCTTTCTTAAAACGTTATGTTCGTCTATTTTATTGATCACAATTAGATGCCTTAAAAAATAAATGATTCAGATTGCTATTTATTTATTTATTTTTGTGTTAGAGTACAGAGAAAAATGAGAGTGAGAATGGAAGTAAGGATGAGATTGAGAGAGAGGATAAAAGGGAGGAGTAACTAAAGTGAAAACAAAAACTTGAAAGTGAAAACAATTTCAAATGGATTTAAGTTTTTAATTTTTGTTTTCGCTTTTGCTACTCTAGCACAAAAAATAAAATCTAAAAACTAAAATTTAAATGATTATCAAAGAGATCCTTAATTTTTTATTTTTTATTTTATAGCAAGAATTGGTTCAAGTTTAACCTACTAATTGCATGTTAGGATTAATCATATTGGGGAATCTATGTCAAAAGCCATTGCCTTCCATAATTGTAGAGTTTATGGTGACCTTAATGTTAGGCCATCTCTAGTCATAGATGACGTTAGCATTTTTAATGTTGGCCGTTGGATATGCATTTACACGAGATGATTCATACTCTTACTCGCACTTGATAATTTATCTTTTTCAAAAGTACATGCATGGGACCCACAAAAAATTTAGCATAGGCCAAAGCTGGGGTACATGTGACCCGGTTAGAGGGCTAAAGGGCCAAATGTGACCCAAATTTAACCAAAATTTTATTTAGCCCATGACTGGAGATAGATTTTGCATTATTTTAGGGCGATATTTGGAATATAGTCCATTACTAGAGATGGCCTTAGGCCGTATCATTTTCATTTTTATCCTAAAGGTGGGCCTTGAATAACAGTTGGCAGCCTCATTCTTGTAGGGTTAAAGAACTTTTGTCCTCCCCTGCTGTACAATGGAAGATTGGTTTACCTCCATCTATCAGTTTTTTTTTAGTATAAAAGATACTCACAAATTACCAATTATAGATGCCACCGCAAGTATAATCAAGTGATGTAAAAATTTCAAATGCATGTAATGTTCTGGTCATAGTTCGTAATTAAATACCTTAAGAATTAAGAATTAGATTGATTATTTGATCTTGTAGTCATTCCGTGTCTCCTATCTTTCTTAGTTATTTGGTTTTAGGAGGTTTTGACCCTCGAATTACCAATTATATCTATGTAATATGTGTGAGTTTAGTAATTACCGTTATCTCTCAATAAGAAAAGTCCTAAATAAATAAATAAATAACGTACTGGGTGGATATTTTCTATTAGTGGCTAAGCGACACATCTAATGACATAATAAAGTTTCTGATTTAGAAGTGAAAACAGAAAAGGGCAAAATGAAATCGACTCCCGTTTGTCCTTTGACTCAAAGTCAGTAAAGCTGCATCTACATTGCATGCACTGCCAACAAACATGAACATCTCTCTTCTCTTGTACCAAAAATTTTCAGAACCCAACTCCATTTTTTATTTCATTTGTAAATTCTTACCATTTTCAGTGGACTTCCTTTGTAAATGTGGACTGTATATGCCTTTACAAGTTATGCCGCTTTTACTGAAGCTGGACAGATATAGTGACTCTTCCAGAAGTGTCGTTGGCATGCAGTGGGTCCACGTGGCAGCCCCTGAACCTCATCCCTCAGAATCTAAGCAAAAGGTTAGAACTCCCTGTAACTCTCTGCTTCAAGGACGCATGGCAGGTATTCTTTTGCTTCAACTGCAACCCCTTCTCTGCCTCTTTCTCTGTTTCCTTCTCCATCTGTTTTAAGACTCAAACACACACTCTTTCTCTCTCTCTGGCATATTTGAGAAGAATTTATGGATTCAAGGGACAACAGGTACATGGGTCCTCACTATAAATGCTTTTTCTATTTTGGGTTTTTCTCAATTGTTGTTTTGGTGCTACTTCAATTCTCCAACCCCATGTTATTGTCTTGCAAATTTCTGATCACATATCTAATTCGAACTTGGTTTTGTTTTGGTTAATAAATTCGTGTTGATTTTGTATAAGTTAACAAAAGAAAGGTTGAGATTACCATTCGAACACACTGTTGTAACTTGTAAGCACATGCAAATGGGAAAGAATCGTCTTGTGGAGTTTTGTCATGAAGAATCAAGAAGTCAGTTCAACTCATATTAAAATTTCATGTTGTTTTCGAAGTTTATCTCAAGCTTCTGTTATATTTTCAGATAATATGACCTCAGAATAATTGCATCTGAGATATAGAGTGTATTTTCTTTTTTGGCATAAAATTATAATCTT